TTTTTCAATATTTCCCTTTTAGCTAAGTCTTGAAATTTCTACACCAAATAGCGTTTTTCAATAGCTTCAATTTGATATATAGCCCAACGTTCAGTGTTGAGTATTTCTGCTCATAACTCAGAAAAACTAAAATGCACTGGCTTCAATTTCCCCCCCTGAGTTAGCCTTCCAGTTTATTTACAGTTCAATGGGTAGGATAGTCTCCCCCAGATTAATAACTTTCAAATGAAGAAAATAATTCAATACTCGAAAGTAGTTAATCTTGTCTCCTATAGCAGGGTCCGAGTATAGAATAGCAAATTCCAAATCTGAATAAGGTGTCGCTTCCATACGTGCTACCGAGCCAAGGGCAATAATGGCGTAATCACATGGTGGTTTGCCCAGTCTACTCTCACATTCTTTGACTAACGTAGAGACAAGCCTGATGTACATATCTTGAATGTCGCGAAAAACTTCGTGCACCTTGTGTGCATGGATCTTAAAAATGGATAAATTTCAATGTTAACAACCAAAATGTACATACAGTGATCTATTTCCTACGCACTGTTCCTAATCACTTGTCCTAATTTCAACTTGTCCTAAGACTAAACCCAACCACAGTCTAATGTTAACACTAAACCTTATAATATCTAATCCACACCTTAATTTTGCACCAATTCTGATTCTAACACTACACCTAACACTAAGTCCAACTCATCCCACCCCTAACCATATTCTAACCCCCAAATTCTTACCTTGGATCCTAACACCAATCTTAACCTAATACTGAGGTACTAACATAAAACTTTTCATCTCATTTCGAAACAGAAAGTCACCCTACCTTGCCAGTGCACATTTTCGCTCGGCAATGGATTTATCACTCGCATCAAAACAAAAATCAATTTCATCAATTTAGAATATAAAATAATTAAGTAGATTTGTATTCCTATACACTGGGAAAAAATGTGAAACCATACTATGAAATTTGCGATTGCACCACTAAATCCATAGTATATCCACATTTGCGATTGCACCACTAAATCCATACTGTATCCATTTCGATACTATATCCATAGTATGGGAACATACAATTATTATGGATAATCAAAATCCGTTCTATTTCCGATAAAGGTCCATACAATTTCGATTGTATACATATGGATTTTCAAACTTTTTTCCAGTGATATCCCTTAAACATGTAATTTTAATTAAATACCTCGTATTGATCCTCTGTTTGATCATTCGTATTAAAGCAAGAATCGATTTCATCAACACGCTCTTTGAAGATCCTTCTCTCATTAGCAAGAAACTCCTTATGGGAATCGATTTCATTTTGAATCTCGTCTACACTGATTCCATCATCATCTTTTGCAAATACGTACAAAAATTCACGATACGTCTCAACGATTCGTCGGAGTATTTGGTCTTCGCCTATTTCATGGTTTATACTTCTAGACCTGACAAGGGCAGCGTTGTAAAGAGCGTTGGCTTTTGTAAAATTAGCGCCATTCGGAATTGTCTTCGCCTTTTTTAGGTACCATTCACCAAGCTTGAGAAGAGCCGGCACTTGTTTTGATGAATTTGTTCCTGCTGACCTCAGCTGCTCTACCGTAACCGAAATATCAAGTTCTTCTTCCATTTGTACTAGCTTTATATACAGTATTTAGTTTACAAACGTTGCAAAGTAGAGTAGTACTTCTTGATAGATCTGTTTCTGATTCTCTTACTTGCTTCACTTATTAAAGCATACATCAATTTCTTCATCCACATCATACACTCGTCTTGTATACAGTTGTTTTATTGATATGTCGTGTGACGAGCCCAGCATGGGACTAACATGCAAACAGAATAGACGGGGCTTATTATATTAATATATTGCTAATGAGGCTTGCTTGTGAACGAAAATGAAAATGGAAATGAAATATATGATGACATACTGTAATTAAATTCTGGCTATAATTGGAAATGAATATGAAAAGCAGAAATGTTCGAATTCCTGAACCTACATATTTCAAGGTTATATACCACTCATGTTTACATACAAACGACGCAACATTAGACCAAAATTGCCGTTAGGAAAAGGGTTTGGTTTAGAAATAGGGTGAGGTTTAATATGAGCTGTGGTTAGGATGGATTAGGAGGATTGGTGGTAGGATAGGATTAAGGTTTAGGATTGAGATTAAGATTGTAAGTACTATTTAAAACACTTTTATATCTGATAAAACACGACAATTAACGAGTGTTTTGAATAGCTTAAAATACGACTACAAAATAATACTAATTAGGTTGAACAATTATATAAAGAATACTAATGAAGATGAGTTTTATCAGATATAAAGTCACTCCACGTGACATATTGTGGCTGACATGATTTGCCACAAGCTTTATGAATTATTAATGAGTATTTTAAGGTTAACAAAATACTCTGAGCTTAAATTTGGTACAGGACAGTCGGTTTTATATGTTTTCATATTTTTTATTAACTTAACAATTCAAGGCTGGTGAGTGATGGTAAAGGTAACACAGTTTAAGTCCCACGAAAAATGTGCATATTATGTATTACATTACCATACAACAAAACAAAAGTGTTACAATATAATATCAACTTTATACATCTTATTGTATTGGTACATCGAATACGCAACGTGAATCATTAATTCTCGAACCGTGCAATTTCCTATGCTGATATACATGAAACGTTTCTCGATTCTGATTAGCTAAGAGGAGTGCAATTTATCGAAATACAGTGCCAAAAAATGAACTACGTGACAAGTGCTTCTGCATAGGTAATAGTGTTTGGAAAAACAACATTTATGTAAAACAAATTATTTCCCGAGAGAACGACATTTCTTGCACGTAATATTCCAAGGTCAGTAGGTCTATCTGCATCAAAAGTGGTTTTTACTAGCTATACATCAGGCATCAGACCCATCAGTTGTGTGTTACAAGAACGGAACACTGCACCGTTCGGGCTACAAATAATCATGACTTCTAACCTTTTTAGGACGGACAACATGTATTACATCACACAGCGCGATTACACATTTACTTCATAATTGCGGGCGTGATACTTTCTTACAGCTAATTTATTTGACATGATTGCATGAATCTGCTCCTTCAAGTGATCAACTATGTGATTAACAAAGTCTACATCATCTTGACCAGGTTCTATGTGTGCGTCCCATGCTACGGGAGAACTGTCTCCCAGCACTTTACAATTGAAAACCAAGGCTGAGTTTGGAAAATTCTGGGGAAATATGAGCAACACACTACATTTCTTTCTTTGAAAGGAAATTTGAAGACATTGCTTTTTAAGCGTTTTCTCAATGGTAGTTGATGCATCTATCATCTTTTCCAGCTTGCTGTTCAGAAGTTGGACAAAATGTACTCCCCAATCACTGTGAAACCATTGACCATCATTTTCGGGTTTGACATACTCTCCAACTGGGGCTTCGCTTGTTTTCGTTTGCGTTGATGGGTAGTAATATATTGGTGGATTCGGTGGCTGTGAGGGTGTTTCTGCTCCACAGGAAATTTTGTTGGCAACGACTTCGTCACGCATAAAAACGTTGCCTTTATTCATAATTTTCACTTCTGCAAAGCCGATAAAAGAAGACATAAAGATTAGGATAAGCTAAAATATGATGGGATAACTTGTTAGCTGAAATACCTAATATGGGAAGGGTAGCATTTATCTTTGACCAGACAGATCAACTGCATGTCTTCAGTATGAATAAGGTCAATACACATTCAGTAAATAAAATCATACTTAGCATAGTACAGTTACATATAATCGACTAGTGATTACATTACCTATCGCATCGTATGTATGACTCGATGCTGTAAACAGCCAGGGGTTGAGTCGAACACGATCGTTCTCAATAGTCGCAATTATAAGCAGGAAGTATTCGACTCCAGCGGGAAAATGTTTCCAAATGCTGTTCAAATCTCCACTACTCGGCTGTCGCAATCTCAATCTATGATGCGAATGCCATTCACCAATATGGCACATCATAAACTCCGTATTCAAGAAAGTACCGACACTTTTTAAGTAGTCGATGTCCTGATGAAAGGAGTGCGTACCGTGTCGGCAGTTTTTGCCAGGCCCTGTGATAATGTTTATATACGGATTTCTGTCTTGTGTCCATAGACCGAACATTTGTCCACCGGTTTCACTATCAGGGTACGATAAAACCCAGTCTTTAACTCGTTCGTAGTCATCTTGGAATAGTAAGACGACTGGTTTTGTGTTAGACATGCTTCTATTCTGTTCGATACCCTGTTTTATACAGCTGCAACTCTATGCTGGCGTTGTAATAACTTGTTCTCATACTGTTGTACTTAGCCGGAAGTGCGTTCAAATAGAAACTATTTTTAAATAATATATGTCATATTGGGTTCTTGGAAAGCGCTCATGCTTGACATGCTTATAAATGCAAATGAGTTCTTAGAAAGTCATTTAGCTGTAAATCCTATCGTTCAACTGTCCAGGTCTTAGTATCAGAGTAGCTAAGATGTTTTTTCTGAGAATTGTTTGCGATGTCTGTTCTTGTTGCAAAGTCCTATGGTAATTGTAAGGCTGGTTTACACTACTGTCATCAGACTCATCACAGAAACTGTGATAGGAATTTTACATCAAGTTTTGAAGGATTTGCAAGAGCGTTTTGAGGGAACTGACATCAGTTCCATCACATATTTCTTACAAACCTTTCAAAACTTAGAATTTAACTGTGCAAAATTCCTACTGTGATCACAGAAACTTTGATAGTGTAAACCCTCTGGTATAAAACCAGGCTTAAATTCCTTAAATGTTTCGCGTCACATGTATTCAAACACTCAAACACACATATCCAAGATGACAAACGTTAATTGGAAGTTTTGAGTATTTGTACCTAAATATATCAAAATTAGTGTTCCATGATTGTTATAGACTGTAGTGAAAAATGTAGTCACTCTTTGTCACTCCAATAATATACTGTCTTTCTTTTTAAAGATGAGCACCATAACACCTGGGCGTCTGTGGTGATTTTAACTTTTAATTTCCTAATGGTGGAGAGACCTTCACACACTGCATAAAAGGGCTAGACAAGCAAACATCTCGTTTTATTTCGATCTATACCATTCAGATTGGCGTTTTATCAATGCCATTATGCCAATGGCAACAAACGGAATGGCGTGAGAATCATTGAGATGAGTCAGTTTTATGACACTGCGAGTGTCCATCGTTAGTTGTCAATGACGGTATGCACGTGGCTTATGAATACTAATTAATTATATATATACCACTACCACAGTCTACAGAATAAATAAATAATCTGTACTGCTCATTTCACTATTGTTTTGGATATTTTGTTATGAGAAAGACATCCAGTATGTTAGGAATGGCTGCAGCCGGGGCAGTTGTGCTTTATGGTGCATATTCATATTTACAGAGGAGAAAGGAGAAACAGACGAATGAAATTATCAATGATATTGTATGCCACATTTTGAGTTTTATATGCTTATTTTATATTTATATATCGTTGTGTTTGATGGAGTTTTGACGAGGGGGGTTTTAAGGGAACAAGGACTACAAGGTTTATTTTGTAATTGGAACAAGGGAACATAGTGAAATCAAGGTTCCAAAGGAAAAGTTTCCAAAGGAAAAGTTTTCAAATGAACATATGGGAACACCCCTCAATCCCCCTTCTCCCCCTTCTCCCACTTCAATATGTAGCAAATACAGATCTGCATTTCATTAATACTTCTCAAGTGTTACTTGAATCATAATAGTTTTGCAACTTTCTGGATCAAATGATGGACTGATTTCTGTAATTTATACTTTTGCTGAATGTGGCTTGCACATCAGAGGTCGTGGTCATTCTAGTGTGCAAGTCACCACTGCCATATGGATGAGTTGACAAAGGATTTTCCTTTGGAACAATTCAAATTTTATTCAACATGGCGAAAATTTGACAGTGGCTGCACACTGCCTGTATGTAAGGGGGTGGACAGGGGGGAGGAGAGTGTTAGAATTATGGTGTAATGGTAAAAATTTAAGATTAAGTGGTGAATACTTAGGAAAATATAGCTGGAGAATTAAAGCTACCAGCCCATTTTAAGTACATTCAATGTTAACTGGTACATTATTATTGCACCGACCATGGTGAAAAGTTGTACTATATCTGCAGATGAAGGAGATGGAAGATGCAAATGTTTTTATTCGGGATCCAGTTGGCCTGCGAGAGAAATTGAAAGCTTTTCTTGAAGGTGGTGCAGAGAAAATGCAGGTTTGTAGAACCAAGCCTAGCTTATTTATAAATTAACCATTAAAAATAGTCACAAGTTAAAACAATGAGTGACTGGATGGCATGATGAACATTAACCAATTGAACCAAGCAGCTCCTTAATAGGTTAAATGCGTCTTGTGTTAGACAGAGGAAGATAATAAAATATGGCATCTTAGGATGCAAATACAACTTAATGGGTTAAAAAAACAAGTCCTTGATCATTAAAGTAAAATGTGTTGTTTACTAAAGAAAAATGACACAAATTGTTTCATTTTTTTCAGTGTATTGCTGATTTTGATGGTACATTAACAAGGGGGTCATTCAAAGGGGAAAAAGCACATAGTAGTTTTGGTACTGTGACAGATGGCCAGTCATAAATGCTTTTTTGGAAATTTCCTATATTTTTATAATTTATAGTAGTATATGCAAGTATATAAGTACATGTCTAAAATTAATGTGCTCTTCAATACATATAGCTGTTGTTGCCCGTTCTGCATTGTTACCAGAGGATGTTGAAAAAAAGGTTTGTGAGTTTGATGAAAGTTTTCTCAGGGTATTGCACATTATTTTGTGATGTTTTAGAATTCCTGAATTACTCTTAAAATATTACTTCAGGAAAAAGAACTACAAGCAAAGTATTATCCAATTGAGAGATCCAGGTGATTGTAACTTTATTCTCTCAGCTAATTTCTAGCTAGCGGAACTTTTTAGAGATAATAAATCTTTCTGGTCTCTAAATTCTATGTAAGTATGTCATCGTCTTCATCATGAAGCTGTCAGTAATAGTTTTCCTGTTCATTTTTTACCAGTGATAAAACCGAGGAAGAAAAATTCAAGGCTATGACAGAATGGTAATAATTAATATGAAACACACTTTTGGGATGTTTATTAATGATTTTATGTAAACTTGTTAATTATTGTTTATTTTTCTTCTGTACAGAAGAAAAACATAAATAAAGGATTTTCCTATTTATCCAAAAAGATTTCTTCCCACAGGTGGAAAGGAATCTTTGAAATTCTGGAAGAGGGTGGCTTCCAGAAACAAATGATTCCAGAGATGGTTAAAAATGGAACTTCAGTTTTAAGGTAAAATGTGAATCTGAAGCAATATTGTCCAAATGTACTGAATGGAATCTTTTGACAATTGGTAATAAATTTATTTTTAGGGAGGGTGGACTTTATTTTCTGCAGAGATTAGATAAAGAGAAAATACCTTTGTTGGTATTTTCCGCTGGCATTGGAGGTAATTGTCATCACCATTATCACAGCCATCATCATTATATTCATCATTATAATATAGCATTTGTAAATTATGAACGCTGATTGGCTAAGAGCCGTGTTGATATAACTCCATGTCAACACGGGAAATTTTCCGCCGCTTGTAACACGGAAATTGTTCTTATTCTTCGGGCTTTTGACATTGCTATATTATAAAACAAATATAAAACATTTTTTTCCGTATTGATATATAGTTATATCAACACTCGTGGAAGTTGGGAAAACTCGAAATTGTGTGAAAACACTCCGCCCTTCGGGCGTCGTGTTTCCACACAATTTCTCGTTTTCCCAATTTCCACTCGTGTTGATATAACTGTATATCAACACGGAAAATGTTTTATATTTGTTAATTATATCACCCCCACCATCATTACCATGACCACCACCATCATCCCCACCATCACCATCAAAACCACCATCACCATCAAAACCACCATCATCGCAATAAAACACCACCACTATCACAATCAACACCACCATCATTACCATGACCACCATCATCATCTTCCCCACCATCATTACCACCATCACCATCAAAACCACCATCATCACAATCAAAACACCACCACTATCACCACCATCAACACCACCATCATTACCATGACCACCATCATGATCACCACCACCATCAACACCACCTGATCATCATCACCCCACCATCAACACCACCTGATCATCATCACCCCCACCACCATCAAAACCACCATCATCACAATCAAAACACCATCACCCCCACCTACCGTGACCACCACCATCGTCACCACCATCATCAACACCACCTGATCATCACTGTCACCATCAAAACCACCATCATCACAATCAAAACACCACCACTATCACCATCAACACCACCATCAACACCACCATCTCAACACCACCTGATCATGACATCATCACCACCATTTTTGATGTCCAGTTTGTTGTTTTCCACATGCCTATAGATATAGTCCAAGAGGTCTTTGTGCAACAAGCTGCTGATTCCACCAGTAAACTTCTTGATAACATCACAATTATTTCAAATTATATAAAATGGGATAATGAGGGGAATATGGAAGGAATCAAGGGTGATATTCTACATTCCAGCAATAAAGGGGAATTTCCTGCACCTTTAAATTATAAAGATGCTGTTAAGGTACAAGGAATTGAAAATATTTTTGTATTCTCGCTTGAATTAACTAACAAATCAGATCGAATTTCTAAAATTTTAAAGTGTACAGTAGTGTACCATAAAAAATGTCATTCACATAGTTTTGTTCATTTTAATTAAATCATCTTTCATCAGGGTCGCAACAATATCCTACTGTTGGGAGATAATTTTGGTGATGCAGAAATGTTGAACTGTGTTGAAAATGCTGAAACCAGTTTGAATATTGGATTCTTAAATGATAATGTAAGACATATATTAAAGTATCAAAGCTCCCTCAGCAGTGTGTGATAAATCAAATATAATGGATCTCACAATTCTCCCATATCCAAATTTTGTGACATGTTTTCTATTTTAGGTAAATGAGCTGAGAAAGAATTTTGAACAACTCTATGACATAGTGGTTGTGGACCCGGAATCAATGACTCTTGTTTCTGTGTTGTTGATGAAACTTTTGGACAAGAAATAGAAGATTACAGAATATATAAATAAGGTGAATTGATCTTTAAAGCTACTGAACACAGGCCTATGACAGTAATTAGCTGTTCATAAATACTGTAATAATTTTTTATGTAGGTGGTGTTGCTGAGCACATGCAATCCTCACTGACAGTTGTCAGACATGGTGGGTACTTGCTAGCTACATACTGGGTTTCAATAAAATATTTATTGGAATATTACAGAATAATAGTTAACAATTATATTTGAAATACAAAATAATTGAATGCATAAAATTACTAGTAACAATTTTCACTCATAATTTTACATGTTGTAGGTTCTGTACAGTAGTTTAATAACATTTTTCTGACTGAATTCATGTAAGAAATAGATGGAAATAAATATGCAACTTGGAAATTAATAAATTATTTTTCAGTTTTTTAAGATATGCATGGAGTTTATTTAATTTAGCTAGTTTATGCATAAAATGATAGTTCTCAGGACACAGTATAATTATGGATTTCAATCTCTATAGCTGCACAGTACATATTGTATGTGTTGTCATTGTACAGTATATGTTCACTGAATACTTTCATTTTAAAATTTAGTAGCAAGCTGGTTTCACAAAATGAAGATGATCCCAAGGCACATACAGATATAGAATGAGGGAATTTGAAAAACAAATTTTTTGCAAGCTGTTCTTCTTTAATTTTTTCGGACCCTCATAACTTTTTTTCTTCATTCATTGTCGGTGAAAGAGTCTTCAGACACAACCTTTATTCTTTTTCCTTCACTTTGATTTACTTCAACTTCAACATTGTCAAGATACCATCTAAAAAAATTATTCTACATTGAAAAGTCTTGAGCCTAATTATTGGTATTAGACAGTGTAAGGTGAAGTTCTGCTTGTATTTTTCAGGTACTGTAGTTATAATCTCTCTCAATCTCAGCTTTCTTAGTATAAAGTAGTGTAAGATTATATGTAGGTTGGACTATAAATGAGCAATGATCCATGGACTAGAGTATTTAACAGAAATTAAATGCACCTATCATTTCTCTTGGAAGATTTGGAGTAGACATTCCCTGATCTCTTTGAGCCTCGAATTGGAACTACAATCTAAAAGATACAAGTAAATATAGTAAATGAAATACTACCAAATAGTAGTGGATCCAACAAGGCTGCCCTGTTACTCATATCACAACATAATTTTAAAAGAGCAAAAACAGTGTCCTACAGGAGCACAGGAAGTGAACTTAAAAGGGATCCTAGGCTTTATGGGAGCCAACTCAATTTTTGCAACCTTCAAGAATCGGGGTCCTTGCCAAGGAATCAGGATGTGAACCCAAGACAATTTATCCTGCCCCTGCTTGCAGCCCTGGACACCCATCTTGGCAGTCCTGCTATCCAATATGTTTTTGTAAACCTGTGCTTGATCCTTGGTGATTCGGATATCTCTTCTACTGAGGTTCATATAGGCGAACCTCAGAGGACTACCCAGGATGTCATTGGTTTGTTGATGTTGTTTGACAGCTTCTGTCGTCAGCTGGTAGTATCCGCCGGCTGCAAGGTTGGCTGGAAAGAGGTAAGCGTGAGTTTGATTAGGCTTCCTTTTCCATCTAATGGTGCTTAAAATAATTAGTTTAGATGTTTAATAACTCACTTAACTTACTGTACAGTATATACCTAAAGATTTCCAGTCCCCTTGAGAAGTGAAGACTGTATACAGATAGTCTAGAAGTTATGGGTAACCCATTAATACATGTTACACTCTCCTTATGATAAATTCACTGAACACAGTGTGACTAAATTTCAGCTCCAGTGGCTGGAATGTCTGTCATTAATGCCAGATTGTTTTACTGTACCTAATGACAGACAATTTTAGTATTTTACTCATGAAGGGTATTTATAAATAATCCAAGTATTTAAATATCTGGCAGTAGAGATTGAAACCACCATGCATGCAGGATGTACGTATCAGGGCAAATTGCTGCTTAACTCATTAAGTCAGAATGTGCCCAGCTTGTTCCCCTATATGTAGCCTTTACTATGTTATTCTGTCTAATATGCCAGACAATTTTTCTCATAAAGGGGAAAATGTTAATTAATCTTCCTTGAATAACCCATTGAGTGCCAGTGCTCTCCTCGGGACCCTTGACAAGTAAAATAATCTGATGTTAGACAGAATAAAATAATAAAGACAATAAACTAGGTTGCATTAGGGTGCAATGCGAGTTAATTAAAAATTAATGGTAAATATTTATTTTTATACCTTGAGTTTTATGATGTAAGATGAATGCTGCACTAATGGAAGCAACTGCACCATATATTGCAATCTTTCTTAATTTTTCATAACTCATTCTCTTCCCTGTTGTTTAAATCACTACATGTCGATCAACCAATAAATTAAATCGGTGTTATTGATCATTATAATCATAGGTCAACGTCAGTGGTAATCATCAATCATCTGCGAGCTCAGAATTTGACCAGCGGTTTTTCTCCAAAACGGCGGGAAATTTTAAAGAGAAGATGGCCATTTGACGTTTCACAAGTTTTTCAAAAGTTGGCTTTTTATTTTTTCTTATTTTGCTTAATTTAAAGGCATGAATCGAGCCGTTTTTCATAAATGTCGAAGCCTAAGCAAGGCTTAGTTGGAAAGGTATGGAATTAGCGATTTTTTCTTCAGTATTTTTGTTTAAACTTCTGACAAATATCCGACAAAAGTTGGGCCACTGGCCGTCTGGCCAGTCGCGTGGAAGTTTAAAGTTTGGTTTTAAATTTGATACAGTTTTGTTTTGTTTTATTTGTCAGCCATCAAAGGCCTCATTGAAGTCAAGAGGGTTGTCTACAAGCAATAATACTTTGAGGTATTAAGGCATCTATTTAAATACTACAATATGCATAATGCATTGACCTTGTGTTTGTTGGCAGATGTGTGGCAATACTGAACATGATATAAAATTTGATATTGAACAACATGTGTGGCACCATAAAAAATATTTGCTACCCTTTGTGGGTGGGTTGGCGTGCAATATTACAAATGAAAGATTTTTAAAAGGTTATTAGAATGTGCCTTAGGTAGACTAGGTAGTTTAGAGTAAATATCTGCACAGTTAATATCAGTGTTCTTTATAAGCATGGCCTCGAGCATGTCGTCCCAGCTTTCATTCTTTGTTATTTTAATCTATGTCCGGACTACTTTATTCTGTCTAATGCCAGATGATTTTACTTGTCAAAGGGAATAATGCTGGCATTTGGTGGATTAATCGTATCTGCAGGCCTTGTTAACCTGTTAATAAGTGGCAATGTGCCCTAATGTCCCTACTTTGTTATTTTAATTATTCTGTCTAAGCATTGTCACTTGATGCATGGGTTAACAAGCTGTGATGATTTAATCACATCTAAACTGAAAGGAATTGAAAACATTTCAATGTTTGGACTGAAGGCCATTAGGAAGATAGTGTAATTATTATTTATTTCCTGATAAAGTGCCTAGTTTTTATAATCTTAATAATAGTTTATATTATGCTTGTGATGTTACTCTGAGTGTATATCCACACCGAGCAGGCTTGAAAAATATGCTTGTCCACGGTGAGAATCGAACCTACGACCTTTGGAACACTAGCCTGCTCTGCCAACTGAGCTACGCGGTCAGGTCGGTTCGAGTATGTGATATTCCGGAACAGAATCTAGTTCCTTCGGTATCAATGTAATCTAATAACAGAAAAAATCATAGTTTACTGTATGTTAGTTTTTATACAAACTATGGAAGCTATTAGTAAACTGATGTGGGACACCTGCAGTTGAAGTAATCATTTACATGTTATTATTCTTTTTCACACATTTAGGCCAGGGTCATCAGATGCATGTTACTCGCTCTATTCCAATGACTCTGAGGATAATGTGAGTATTTTTGGAATGACCCTTTTTCCTCACCTCCCCCCCCCCCCCCCCCCCCCC